AATAGCGATGGAGGTAATCTAATCCTTCTTCCATCGTAAATATCTAGCTTTAAGTGACAAAATTCTGCTTTTTATATCGATTAGTGTTTAGTGGTTTTAATATTTGTTTATCCATTCCTATGAGACATCACTGACCGACTATAACTGGTACTAGATATTCATTGCGATCACAATGAACTGATAGCCTCGAAGTTCCAAGTGAAGACACTATCATTTGGTGGGCGGAAAAGGCTGACTGTATACGTTATGACAACGCTGATTGATTTCCATATTGACAGATTATTTGAAATCTATTTTCTGCATCGCTTTTAAATTCATTTTCCTTATGGTTTATGGAATAATTACAGCTCCAATGCTGAGGTTGAAGCAAGCTTTGCAAAAGATCGAATCAGAAATCCTCATAATGAATGTTCAAATCAGCGCTATCGAACAATCTCTGCTACAAAGTCAACTTAAAAATCGGGCCGTATATAACGCTTACTTACGGGATTTGCATATTTAATTGTGGAACTGTTTAAGTTATATTAGAAAATGTACAGGATATAAACTAAAAAATCAGCGAAAGGAACAAGCGTTATATAAAAGAACAAGCGTTATTTTCATTAACATATAACCCATTTTAATATGTCACTCTTAAATAATATTCGAGAACAAAAATTCTAATTGTACTATATGAAAATGAGGGTTGATACTTGAGTAAGAAAATAAGAGTTATTTTCCTTTAAATTCGAATTTACGTGATATTGTTTAAAACAGACCTGATATGAAGCAAGGGTTTACGTCAAATGTCAACGAAATCAAGTCCAGAAAATCATCCCTTCACATTGCTTTTTAAATATATCTCGTTCATTTTGCACTCTAGCAACTTGAAGAATAACGGATTCAATTGAAGAAATGTTCAGCATGGAATGTTGGCTTGCTTTTTTTGCGATCACTAATAAGCTAAGCTTCAGCAACTTGAGGATTAAAATAAGCAAAACCACTCCACAGAATTAGTGTGAAACGTACGTGGTACAATGTTTTGCATATTCTCGAGATTCCTCAAAAAAAAAAGCCTTATTATTCGTAACTGAAACTTGACGAGTTTTTATTTTTGTCTAAAGATGAAGTATCAAGTCCGAACTGTCATAAATTCTTAATGTGATAAAATTAGAGCAGTATTATGGGCGAGAATTAAGACAAGGAAAGAGAAGAAAACGACTGCTTTAAGGAAGAAAGGCAGGAGATGTTAATTATTTCTATTAAATATGATTACTATACAAACAACAAAATACAAAATACAGATATTATCATACAGGCAAATTATTGTACAAATAACAACAAAGTACAGGTGGTTATTCTTCTCCATGGACATCTCCTTGTCGTGGACAGTGAGGGAGGGGAAGCTTATGTACCCACATGAGGTTGCGAGCTACGTGGCGGTAGCAAATGCCTCCAGTAGGACGGACCTCCCATGCCAAACAGGTTTCAGCTGAAGCATCGGACAAAGTATGTCCAGGGACAGAATGCGTTCGCTAACCTTTGGGCAACATCCTAAACGAAGGAAAACTTTGACCTCAAACCACGCCAGATAAAGCTTATTTAGGCGTATAAGACCATCCATCTCACAGGGCAATATTCTAACTAAACCTGTTGGGTGAGCTAATTTGTTGACTTCGTTTATCAGCGATATACCGTGTTTCTCCGAAAATAAGACAGGGTCTTATATTATTCTCCTCTAGGGCTTATTTCCAAGGGATGTCTTATTTGCCGGAAAACACAGGAGTATTTCCCTTGTCCACCTGTCACTGAGATTATCGTTCTTTGCTCGCCATTTTCAGATCAATCGGACATCCAAAGGTTCTTGTTCTAGGAATCCTCAACAATTCCTTTCTTGCACTCCACAGAATAGCTTTTTCTCCTACCACTCATTCTGTTTTTTACTACGCGGGGAGGCCAGCCGTTGGGGAGCATCAGAGAGGGGTTTGGAGACTTGGCGTAGTCAGTCGGCGCTCCCCGTGGCTGAGCCGAGCGGCGAAAAGGCCAAGCAATGGCAGTAGAAGGTGGAGATGGGCCCGAGACTTCATCGGGGGCTTGGCGCGGCTGCAGGAGTGCTGGCATTGGTGCTTCCTGCGGTTGCGGCAAGGATGAACTAGGTCTTATTTTTAGGGGAGAGCTTATTAAGCCTTTCCCTGAAAATGTCACTAGAACATATTTTCAGATGATTCATTTCCGGGGAAACACGATAGATTTATTCGAGATACAATGTTATTCTTGCACAATACTTCCAACAACAGCAGAAAAAGTATTGGTATCAAGTATGCGGAAAATTGGTAGGCAGTGATAAATGAATTATACCATAAGTAATATGATCAACTAATAAAGTCCTTGTTGCCTTCGATAATAGTTGGTTGTCGTTTATTGATCGATTGCGTAATGATTGAAGTATAAAAATTCGTCTTTCGTTCAGCTGAGGATATGCTGCAGAGAAGGTGTTTAGCGGAAGAAAAGCATTGTAGCATGTTGTACAAGGTGACGGATAAGCGAAGATGACGTTGTGCAGTCAAGCAGACTGTAAAAACTTCGTGGAATTTCTTCCATACATATATATATATATATATACTTCGGATTTGGGGAGGAGTTTTGGTAAGCTCCACCGGAGTTATCATGGAAGTATGACTGCCTCTTGGCATGATCCTTGTGCAGCTACGAAAGCTTATATCCTCCTCATTACCTTAATTTTACTTTCTCATCATCCTGCCTGGTGGATATTGTTGAAATTTTATTTGAACGTAACTTTAATTTCAGTAGTCTGACAAAATCTCCTGAATATGTCGCTGCCACCATGCTGACAGATGAAACTTGGAAGAAGTGCCGGAAAATCGAGAATTTCAATACTTATGTCGCTTTTTTGAATATTGTGCAAACCTTACTGCTGTTTATTATTATTACAGTCTTTTGTCCGAGTATTGTAAAGGGCAAGCATGCCGCTGTATATTACTGTAACAGTCTTATACGCCTTCGATCCCACATGCTACTGTTCAACTACTTTAACAATGTTCTACCCTTGTTGCAAAGGTCATACATGCTTTGTTTAAACGTTGTAAAGGTTATACACCCACTATATAGGAGCTGAAAGCAGAAGGCCACTACTTACTCTTTTATACTTACGGACCAACATCTCCCGACTCCGTCAACTTCTGATCTCCACTTCTACAATATAATTCAATTGCCCAAATTATATTCGAATTCAGCTAAGTTGTTATTATACATTCAGATAAAAAAAACACCGATAAAGTTCTTACCGAACAATCAATCTACCCTTCTCGACAAAAAAATTAGGTGCTCGAGGTAATATCATTCAAAAAGATCAACCAGCGAAGCAACGGTTGGCTTGAAGAAAATAAAACAATAGATTTAACGCCCCTAGAACAAAATTAGTCCAAAAGGACAAAAACGACAACAGTTCAAGGGCGACAGAAAAACTACTGGAAAAATAATGCATCTCGAATTGAAACAAATTCTTTGTCGTTGCCTTCGATAATAATTTGACTGTCGATTAGTTGATAGGCCATTGAGTTGGGGATACGGGAAATGTATTTAGCGAACAGAAAGAATATCATAGTTTGTTGTCCAGTGGTGGTGGATATGCGAAGATGTCGTTGTTTGTGGTTTAGTTGGAGAGGATATGCGATGAGGATGTAACGTCTCCTTGGTTATAAAAACTTTTTCCCATTTTCTTATATATATAAGGATTAGGGAGGAGTTTTGTAAGCTGTATCGGAGTTATCATGGAGGTATGGCTGCCCTTTGGTATTGTCTATTGTGT